CTATATTTATTGGCCGTTTGTTATTACAATATCTCCTAAAGATGTGAAGTAAAAACTGTCTAAATGAGCCCATTTCTAAACCCTCGGCAAGCATCATTGATGATAACATTTATATTTGTGACAAATTATATATAACATTTATATTTGTGACAATTGATCTCATAAAAATAATTTTGTTTTCGTTACATGAAAATGTCAAAGAAGGAGTATTAGCACAGTGAATTACAGTGCATTACATGTACACGTAATGACAAACGTTTCAGAGTTCTTAAATATTAAAAAATAAAGCTGCATTTTCTATAATCATATATATTTTTAATTCTGTTTAATATCAGTGATACAGCTATATTATATATTTACTGGCCGCATGTTATTGCATTCTCGTACATTGAAGTTGATAGATTTGCTATAAATTTGTTTACAAGGTAATTTTTGCAATGCTATATTTATAAAAACTTGGTAAAGCAAATGCGTGTGGTGTCTAGACATTTCAAACAGGAGATGAAAAGAAACCTATTTTGATTGCTGATAACCCTTGCGATGTACCCGGTGGAAAAAGGGATGTTTTGAAGAAAAAAAAAATATTTCGTCAATGATGACGATTTTAATTAACAGCTTTTTGCATAGATAACATATAAAGGTTAATATTTCAAACTTCTTTTAACTGCTATGTAAGAAGTAAGTCTAGGAAAGTTTGCTAGACAACAATTTTGAAGTAATTCCAAAAATGTTTTTAAACATGGTCTCATTGCTGCTGAAAACTTTTAATCTAAGAGCATTTTCCATATAACTGATTTATTTTATAAAAAGAAATACTCTAAAAGAACAATTAAATATAGCAGCGTTTGATTGAAGAAATAATTTAATAAAAATGATGATTTGTTTTCTTTATTCAGGACATTTGTGTTAACTTTACAGCGCAGCATCCGGTACATTTTACCTGCAGATCTGACCGGACTAAAACGTTCAGTCAGCAAGGTCAGCGTAAATATGAAGGTAATACTAGTTAAAAGCGGACTAGATCATTGTTAATTTAGAAGCAGTGTCATTTTAACAATCCAGATAAACAAAAAAAGCAAAGAGTTTAATTAGCTGCTATTTTATAAATTCTCATGTCTTTCTATATTTCTATATATATATTACTGTATTTAGTTTTTCTACAGTTACTATAAATTATATTAAGTAAACGCATGGTCTTATAATAACAGTACACGTATTTAGAAAGGTTTTGAATAGTTATTCACACATGCAGGACCTCCCGCTAACTACAACACCGACCCTTATCTCCAAATTAACAAAGCAAAATGACATAACAATTTTAGTTGCAAGATAAAGTCATCAAACATGCAGGCTTTTATCCACATTTTTATTTCAATGATAATTTTGAAAGGTATGATTTTCATATAGTTTAAAAACACATCTGAAATAAAGTCTACTCCTTCATTATGATTCTGATTTAACTATTGATAGCAATATATTTTTGCATTTTATGAGAGTCTATATTTAAAACAAACATTATTGTTTTAATGTCAGCTTGCGATGCACAACAACGCAACTTTAAGTTGGCCAGTACAACGATAACAGCCGAGAAACTACAAGAAAAGGTCAATGACTACAGCCAGTGCTACGTTGATGTTGTCGTCCATAATTCATCGTCCTTTCAATTTGGACTGTTAAATGCTACAGTTATTGCGTTAACAAATGATTCTGGTAAAGTTTATTACGCCGACGGGCTAACGGATATTAACGGTCATGTTTGTCTTCCGGTTCTCTGTCATAAAGCAATACGCATTTTTGTAGAGAAAAATTCTGTTCGAATTTCTGCACTTAATAAAACGATGCAACAGAGAAATATTCCAAGAGGATTTAGTGTAAAATTTGAAACAAATAATGAAGTGATTTTATGCATATGCATGGGGAACAGTAGCCGGTAGGTCCGGTCCCGTTTACAGTACAAAAGAGAAAGGAAAATGCAACGCAGCTCTAACAAGCGATTATCATTTTGTATTTATTTTCTTACATTGCTATTCCCGACAGACTATTGTCGACACTTTCCCCACCTACTAACCCAGATGATCCTTCTGATCCGAAGTTTGAAAATGCTTGGAGATATGGTATGACGGGCAACAGACGATCATGCTTTTTAAAAATTAAAATAAAGGTTGGTTAAAAAAATCAATTCTGTTTTACAATAAATTTCAAACTACATGTATATGCATTATTTTTTTTTTTTTTGCACATTTACTTCAACTAAAATATTTTGCAATTTATGTTTATAATTTTGTAATTTAAAGGGTTTCCGTCCGAAAAATGTTTGTTTCCGTTTAAAAATTTCTGACCTAAAATTATAAAAAATGATTACAATATCGTATTTTATTGCTTTTTCAGACCTCTAAACGCAAGTCAAAAAAAGTGATACAAAAACTGGAAATGCAAAGGGAAAAGGGTGTATGGGCTTATTTGAAACGGGGGCCAAAAATACCTTAATGCAGTGTTTACACGGATAAGGCAGCTTTTAATTTCAGATCCCCGGTTTGGGCTTTGGATGGTGTCGAAATAAAGGAATATACAGGTGGGAATCCAGGATGCTGCATATGTTCTTTCCTAATTTTGTTGTAGATCTATTTGAGAAGAATTATGTAAAGTATACAGAGTTTTATTACCTTGCAATGTACTTTATATATTAATCATTTAACTATTTAGTTAGAATAATGTAGTACATAAATCAACGGAGGCCAGACACACCATTTGCTTTAAACAGCGATCTCCATGTTATTTCAATAAATTCAAACATCTTAAAGAATGTGTTACGGTATTATACTTATCAATTGATAGGAATAACTTATCGCTAATGCTTTCAGCAACATTAGATCAGGAAATATATTCAACGTTGAACGCACAGAATTAAACACGTTCTTTGCAAAGACCAGCACGGACAACTACGGCTCCGAAAAGGGAATCTACATTAACCAAGATCCACGTGTTGCACGTGCAAAATGCTTCACTGGTCGTGAATTTCTAGGCTCTGAGTATGCAATGAATGTAAATGTAGGGTATGCATTTGAATATGATTGTCTACAGGACCAAGCATGTTCATGTGTTATTGGTAAATAAAGATAAAAAGGAAAAAACTCGTTAATTAAATATTTTTTGTCTTAATATTTACTTCATCATAATAGAAAAAAATGAAAGAGTTCGCTGTAAGTGTTAATTGAAAATAGTTCAAACCATACGAATTGAAATAACATAAACAATTTATATGGAGCAACTTGAGTGCGTGTTCCATAAAAACTTACATTCAAAGTTTGAAATCTAGACTCGATTTTCTGAAGCTGCTACAGAATGTAAAGTTGTAAAAACTAACTCATTATTTCAAGGGAATTTAACAGCATCATTATGAATATTGGCTATGGTCACGTAACATATTTTGTTGACAACGAGTCTAACGTCTTGGTTTCAGAGTATATATGTATGGGAATATCCGTTGTAACTATAAAAGGAAAACAATGAAGCATGTGTGCAAAAATAAATCATTGAATTTGAATAAACGTATCTCACTTTAAACCACACGTTTTTCAAAAGAAAAATCTTTTTAATGCATTAATTTCATGCGGTACACATATTGAATGAAATCAAAGAAATAAAAGAAAATAAAACAACACATCAGCATTATTCATATAATATATATCTGATTATTACGTAGATGATAAGAGAAAAAATAAAAGTTTTGTTAAAACTATTTTTGGTTTATTTTTAATTTTCCCTGCCCTTATATTTTTTTTAAAATTCAGATTGTTTTGTGAATGTTTCCCACATTTTATGTTGCAGTAAAATTTCAACAGCTGTGTTTTTGTGTGGGATCATTAACCCTTTACATTTGGACCACACAAATCCACTTACAAAATTTGTTAAAATTTTTGGGGGACTGTCCCTTATGAAAATCCATATCGGGACCCCATAATTTTCCCAGCCTTTGCAATAAATGTGAAGCCAATGTCTCCTTTTGTTGCATCTGTGATATGCGTTATGTTTATCAACGGATTCGTCTTACTGAAAAATAAATGTACGAATGTATTGTAAAATAATTTCTTTGTTATCAGACTTATTTTGTGGCCCTTTATATCGTTTCAAATTCTACAAAAATGTAAATCGTCACAGTAAAAGGGGCAATAACTTTTGATAATCATTAAGAAAATATCCAGTCATAAAGTAAAAAGGAATCACAACACATAGCTAAATGTGTAAATGTGCTTGCAAAAGATTAAGCCCGGTTTGCTAAACTTTTTGACGGAGAAAACAAAGAAATATCATACTTTACCTTTTAATATATAGCTGATTCAGTTATTAAGTAATTATAAGATAATTCTCAATTTCTGTCATATAGATAAAATATAGATAGAAAGACATCTTGTCATTCAGATTTTAACTGAGGAACGAGAAGTTAGTCTTAAGAAATTTGGTTTTAACATGTTTATACCTCAATCAACAGTCAGAATTGTTGATAGGTCCTTAGTTTAAAGAAAAACTTTGACTACCCGTTTTCTTTATGTTTCTCTATTATTGTAAAACCATGACTTCATGAATCCTAAGATTTTACATTGGTACGTAAATGAAACAAATAACAGAAAACATATAGCATCATATTTTCACTGTCTATGATAATGTTGTACACTGATCTCTGATATTAAAACCATCGCAATAATGATAAGAAAAAAAATATTATAAGGCATTTTTTATGCTTCAGATTTCTTAGACTGACCTGATTTTACATCGCAAATTTCTATTTGAAGTTACCATACGAACTTCTATTGCTGTATCCAGGTCAAATATTTCTTTATTGCCGTCTTTGATGTATCCCGGGCATCGAAATTCGATACAAGCTCCCCTTAAGGTCAGATCCGTCTTTCTAGGATCAGGAGTTGGCCCTGTAGACGTATGAAAAAAATTTTCATCCCCTTTTGGGACGTTTTTTTTAAATGATTTTTTTTGAAAAAAAATCTTTATTCAAATGTATCCCCTTTATCTGAAAATAAACAATACTTTTTTTTATATTCATTTTTAAAAAATGGTTTTTTCATTATTTTTAAATTTTCCATATATATCGGTAACGGAAAAGTATCTCTAGAAAGAATTTTTAAGAGTTTTAAAAAAAGTCTAAGCAAATAAATCTTTACGTGTGAGATATCAAATATAACCGTTAAATGTGTGTTTCCGAATATGTATACACCTTACAAATTAAGATAAATGTGTTTTTGTTATGTATTTATAACACTAGAATATTTTCAATACTGGTATTATTATAAGATAAATGAAATGCAACTTACATCAACTCGTACTTTCATGAAACAAGACCTGAATGCTGATTTCTCAGGTGAAACAGGATACCAAGACATTTTCTTATCATAAACCCCTTCACCGGCAACATAATTATGCCCTGGGGCTTTTGTGAATGGTGCAAACTTAAATTGGAACGTCTGATCATTTATGCCTACTCTGTTACATCTTCCTCCACTGACCTTTTGATACATCGGACCTTCACACACTGTACCAGGTGTGTACATACTGCAATCTATCGATCTCCCTAAATCTCTTGACTCAAAAAGTTATTTCATTGTCCAATTTGTTTCTCTTATATATAACGGTGGGTATGGGTAGGTGGTGATTGGCGGCATAAAATCTTTCTTTACCGTTTGCTGACCAACATGAATATTACTAATTGATCACAAAACACTTGAAGGCAAGTGTGCCCATTTTTCAAATATGTCGCTGTATTCGCACCAATATATGAGGAGTTGTCTAACTCTTTGACATATGCTTTAATTTCAATGTCCCCACCAGTATATGCTTCTTTAAGTCTCATATCTGTATAAACTGATATGCTTGCGTAACATATTCCCGCTTTTGGTGTCCTTCGTACGACATTCTCATACATTTTGACACTGTGGTCGCAATTAGTATACCGTCCTGTCCAAACGCGTTCATAATGACATCGTTGAACTTACAGATCTGGAATCGCTTGGCGGATGGAAGGAAAGCTTCAATGCTTACAGCTTCAAGAAGCTTCCTTCTGGTATTAGATTGTCTGTTTATATTTCATCTTGGCTGTTTCTACCCAAACGCCTTTATTGTTGTCATAATCCCATAATGATAAATCGGGATCTCCATTTTCATCATGTTCAATATTAAATTGTATTTAAAAAAATACAACATTAACAGCAGCAAAGGTTATTATTAAATTCATTCGGGGTATGTTATTAAACATGTTTTGTATAATTATAAAATGTTTATATATTTAAATGCACTTAGGACGTTTTTTTTTTCTTAAAAAAACAGCTGTTGTTTGCAACAGAAATATACTTACAAAACAGTTTAACAATATATTATGAATTCCATCTTAAATTATATATATATTAGCATTGTCTGAAGCTATCGAAAATATAAAAAACACTACCTGTTTTACTAAGATTCGCCATTGTATTCGCAGATGACTCCAGTGCATTGAAATCAGCAATTGGTAATATCCTTGAAGAAGCATTAGTTATTTTGATGAAATTTCCTATCGCAGAGTCTCCAGCCATGTTAAGAATAAAACATCTTATTCGTTTTGTTTTTAGCAAAGTGCTAATTCTTAAGGCTTCTAGTTCGCTGATTGGCGAGTGAGTCAGAATTATTAGTGCTTTCGGTATGCATTTCCTGTCACCAGCTGAATCTGAAAAGCCATTCTTGATTGAAAATTCGATAGCAGTAGAAACATCAATATTCCCTATGCTGTACCACATGTATGTTATTGTTTGATTCATCAGCTGGATGTCGTTAAAGGCGTCTAAATTGAACTTGCTGTTGGCAGTGGAGCCGAATGTAAAGAGGCTTATCAGTGTGTATTTGGTAAAAATCTGCTCTACGAATTCTAAGGCAAATTTCGTCTCATTGTCAAAGTTCTGAGAGCGATAGCTATCGGATGAATCCATAAGCAAAGCAACATCCATTATCGGCCGGCCTGTAATTAAACCCATATATAGCTAAACAATACAGTTTTATCTTCATGGTAACTCATACAAAATTCGTCAAAACATTTAGAACTTACCATTTTCCGAATATACCGAACAAAAAATTGTCAAATACATTAAACATACAAGCGATGTTTTTCCACCCATTTTGAATGGATGTATCGTTAGCGTTAGGCTCACCTTTTCTATTTATAGGAGGCACAGTTGCAAAGGAGGAATTTCATTTCCCTGTCGAGCTGTGTGAGTTTTATATAAAGTCAAGTTAGCTTTTTGAAGTGATACAACAAGTCAAGATGTCGAACATATTGATAACCGCATTGTGTGTGTGTGTGTGTGATTTACCTCACATGGACAGACACTGAGATAAACAATTATATCGAAAAAAAAATCAACATAATCATGAAAGTAATATTCAATTCCTTTTTAAGAAATACAAAAATGAAATGGTAAAACAAGTTCAATAACAATTTTCAGTATCAATATTTTCATTGACATTATATTTTACAGCTGAAATTATTTGATTTTATTCTGCTTTCTTCAAATTCATTAAGTGAGTCTCGTGGAACAAAAAAACAATTTTTTTTTTATTTTCGAAAAAGCATTTAATACCAGTAACAACTAAATAAATACATAACATCGAACAAAAAACATGTTGATAAATACAGAAATAGAGGGCAAACATTTGTCTTGGGTATATATTTTCGTATTAGATGGCATCAAATTTTGTATTAAATGGCAACATAAGTTTTGTGCAAGCATTGATCTGTATTATTTTTTTTTTTCCATTGTTCGTCTCCAATGAAAACTAGAGGAAAGACAGATAACATGACATCGCATATTCTTAAATTAACCACCGTTATCTGCAGCGCAAGTAACAATTTCGTGCCCTACTAGAGCAAATAAAAATGCAGGTTGTTTTAGGTGCATGCACTTAAATGTATTATTACAAAACTAGGGGCATTTTAAATAGACCTATTTTTTTTATCAAGATCCTTGAACTCCTGAAATTTAATCTCAATTGGACGTTTGCTTGGAAAGCTTGTAACTTCAGTTGTAAACAAATGAAGTTTATTGAAATAACATTAACTTGATTGATGTAAAAAAGCATATAACAATTCAGTAAACTACATGCTATTTCGCAAATTTGTTGCCATGGCAAACTCGACGAAACTAAAACTTATTGCTATAAGGAAATGGCTCTTTATCTAGATTTTAAAAAAAGTGAAAACCAGTACAATTTTATAAACGCAAAAAACCCACATAAAGTCATTCCTTTGGTGAAATTTAGCTTTTAATATCAGGTCTGCCTATTATCCCATTTATGTTATCGCAATAAAACAAACAGACTATTTCATTAGATCTGAAATTTACGTTGAAGATATTGGATATTTGACAGTTTTTTACAAACACATGCATGTAGAATGTAGAAAATAATGTCATATATAACGCTATAGATCGTGTACAAATGATACTTGATGTAAACTTGAAGAATATAACTCTTTTACGTTAGAATCATACATCATGATTGTCAGTTCTTCGGTTAAATCAATTCATACATATTTATATTGCTATAATTCATACAGTTATCAATTAGAAATCATATTTATGTGCCACTGTATGACACTAATTCCTCCATTTTGCGGCATGTATGCATTCATTGTCCTTGTTGGCTGCACTTGCTTGTACCTTAGATCATGAAGTGTTTCTATTTTAGGATTAGGGTTATCAAGCTGTCGTCATTTCATGATAATATATGTTAAATAGACCTACTATCTTGTCTGATGTTAGCCTAGTGACAATTCAAATATCTACAGGAGGTTTTCTTGAAGGGTTCATATCTTTCTGTTTAGGTCTAATATTAAACGTTCAAAGCAATGTTTAATAACATTGAACCTTAAAGAAAATATATCCCATTAACAATTTAGATTGAGCTTAGATGTGAAGAACAAAATTACCAAAAATATATTAATGAGCCCATTTATTTCTAAAATTGTAAGCCGATTTTATAAAACGATAAAATCATTCTATATTTGTGACACCAGTTTCAATAAAATTTCTGCGATATGAAAGAAATTATTTTTCAGTAGAGATTAAATTTGTTTTATTAAATAATATGATTGAAACAATGTCACACGATTTTGAAAAAGTGTGTATGTAATACCTTATTCATTTTGTTAGAAGTCGATAACGCTTTATACTTTTCTTAAATATCAGTGATACAGCTATTTTCTGATTAACTCGCTACATGTCATGACATAGAAGCTCAAACGTTAACTTAATACTTTTGAAATGAACTTCTTTCTGTAAAATACAGTCATTTATGGAATGTTACATCGATAAAGATAATTATCAAGGTGTCTAGACATTATATTTTGCAACAAGATGATTAAATCTAAAGAGCTAACCATTCTGGTTACAGAGAAGATTTGCAAAACTTTAAACCATTGATTTATTTTCGTCCTTAAGAGATATTTGTTTTAGCATAACATCTCTTTCAAATGTAACAACACGACGGAACCATTAACGTAGGTGGACACTACATGTATAAAATTTGTGTCTGCTGATAGAAACGGAATTAATTACAAACACACATATGCACACATCATATGTAGCTAAGTGTGTTAACTTAAGTGCTAATTAACACAACATGATATTAATTTATATTAATAACAGCTCCTACCATGGTCCAAAATACGAATCATTCCATAAAAGACGACACCGCTCACCGGCGTCGAGAATGATATGGTTAAGTAATAAATAACAAAAGGTTATCATAGATGCTTTGTTTTGATGCCTTCGTGCCATTTCATTAAAAAAGTGTAAGAGTTATTTTCCTAAAAAAAGCCGTTACCTTTGCCGCCCACGAATAGACTCAAATCGAGTCAGCAAAAAAAGTTAATTGTCTGCTTTTGAGCATTCTTAAAGATTAACATTATTTTACAATAATTATACAATACCAAAGAAGGAAATATTTGAAACACGTAAAGACAAAAAAGATGAAATAAAGAAAAACCGAGATTTGAAATAAAGTATCGTTTATCGTACTCACAACAACACTTTGTCCGGAATGCTGATGGATTTCTTACCATCATCTAGTAAGTGGTCTTTAACAAGGTCTTTTATCTATGTCGTCCACAAATGTTTTGCCATAGAAGGTGATATAGAAAAAAGAAGTCAGTTGCTGACACAATAATTAACAATGAAAGTCTCTTCATTTGTGTTCTTTTTTATGAAAACTTTAAAATTGTGCTTAAGTGTACGTCACATTTAGTGATTCAATATATACATAGCAATTACATCCATCTGGTCATTAAAAAGCAGAAATAACTCTTACTTTGTTAGTCTTATGCAGATGTTGATGACAAATATAGTCAATTTTGTTACATTTTTAATTCGTTTTATTGACACTGTTATAAGGGATGTTAAAACTATCGATACTATTTATTTGAAATTAGCATTTTTAAGATTTGTTTATCTCTTCGTAAATTGTCATTTTAATAAGATTAGTTTTAGTCGCTGCTGCTTTGTAATTATCACTATACATAATTTAGTTCTATTAAGTAAAAACTTTTGTTCCTAATAACTTAGATATTCAAAACATAAGTTTACATGTTTATAAAATTTGGAATATTTATTCACACATGCAGGACCTCCCGCTAACTACAACACTGACCCTTATCTCCAAATTAACGAAGCAAAATGGCATAACAAATTTAGTTGCAAGATAAATTCATCAAACATGCAAGCTATTATCCACATTTTAATGTATATGATAATTTTGAAAGGTATGATTTTATATAGTTTAAAAATACATCTGCATTCATTGCATTTGAAAGAAAGTCCAATGTTTCATATTAATTCTAATTGACTATTGATAGCATAATATTTTAACATTATTATGACTGTGTATTTAAAACTAACTGTATTGTTTTAATGTCAGGTTGCGATGCACAACAACGCAACTTTACGTTTGCCAGTACAACGATAACAGCCGAGAAACTACAAGAAAAGGTCAATGACTACAGCCAGTGCTACGTTGATGTTGTCGTCCATAATTCATCGTCCTTTCAATTTGGACTGTTAAATGCTACAGTTATAGCGTTAACAAATGATTCTGGTAAAGTTTACTACGCCGACGGGCTAACGGATATTAACGGTCATGTTTGTCTTCCTGTTCTCTGTCATAAAGCAATTCGTATTTTTGTAGAGAAAAATTCTGTTCGAATTTCTGCACTTAATAAAACGATGCAACAGATAAATATTCCAAGAGGATTTAGTGTAAAATTTGAAACAAATAATGAAGTGATATTATTTTATGCATATGCATGGGGAACAGTAGCCGGTAGGTCCGGTCCCGTTTACAGTACAAAAGAAAAAGGAAAATGCAACGCAGCTCTAACAAGCGATTATCATCTTGTGTTTTCTTACATTGCTATTCCCGACAGACTATTGTCGACACTTCCTCCACCTACTAACCCAGATGATCCTAATGATCCGAAGTTTGGAAATGCTTGGAGATATGGTATGACGGGCTCCAGACGATCATGCTTTTTTAAAATTAAAATAAAGGTTGGTTCAAAATATCAATTCTGGTTTACAATTAATGTCAAACTCTTGCATTTATCTTTTGTTTTTGCACATTAACTTCAAACTAAATTTTTTTGCAATGTAGGATTATAATCATTTGTACATTTAAATGGCTTATCCGTCCGAATAATGTTTTGTTTCCGGTTATAACAATTTTTTGACCTATACGATTATGAAAATGATTACTAATATCGTATTTCATTGCATTTCAGACCCTCTCAACGCAAGTCAAAATAAGTGCATACAGCAAACTGGATAATGCAAGTGGAACGGTGTATGGCTTATTTGAAACTGGGCCAAAATACGACGTTAATGCTGCTGATTACACGGATAAGGCAGCTTGTGTAGAGTTCAGATGCCCGGCTATTGGTACATTGTATGGTGTCGAAATGTCTACCTATATCGAAGGAAATATCGAGGTACCAGGACATTCCAACGGATGCTGCATAAGGTCCTTTTCTAATTTTGTTGTAGATCTATTTGAGAAGAATTATGTAAAGTATACAGAGTTTTATTACTTTGCAATGTACTTTATATATTTATCATTTAACTATTTAGTTAGATTAATGAAGTACAAAAATCAGCGGAGGCCGGGCACTCCATTTGCTTTAAACAGCGTTCTCCATTTTATTTCAATAAATTCAAACATCTTAAAGAATGTGTTACGGTATTATACTTATGGATATGAATAACTTATCGCTATTGCTTTCAGCAACATTCGATCAGGAAATATCTTCAACGTTGAACGCACAAAATTCAACACGGTATTAGCAATGACCAGCACGGACAACTACGGCTCCGAAAAGGGAATCTACATTAACCAAGATCCGCGTGTTGCACGTGCAAAATGCTTCACTGGTCGTGAATTTCTAGGCTCTGAGTATGCAATGAATGTTAATGTAGGATATGCATTTGAATATGATTGTCAACAGGACCAACAATGTTCTTTTGTTCTTGGTAAATAAAGATAAAAAAGGAAGAAAACACGTAAATTGAATATTCTTTTAAACTATTTTATCGTTATGACTTTTCTAAGAGTTTTACTAAATCAGGAACCGAACATTGAGTGATGTATACACATGTTCTAACCAGTTCAGCTGCATAACAATTAATCTGATGTTATCCGATTACGCATATCCTGAAAGCTTCCAACATGTGTGATTATTATCATTTTTCATAAGATTGAACATATGTGCACTATATGCAAGTAAGTAAGTAAGTGAGTGAGTGAGTGAGTGAGTGAGTGAGTGAGTGAATGCGTGTGTGAGTGAGTGAGTGAGTGAGTGAGTAAAGACTTTATTTATCGAGGCAACACATTTGGTTTCTCAATCTTCTACGTTGGCCTCTAAACATATAACAATGTGTTCTATTTGAATCCGAGTGGTTTACCTTAAACAATGTTTTAACATTTTACCGCTTCGGAATGTAAGGTTGTAAAAGATAACTCATTATTTCAAGGGATGTAATAACATCATTATGAATATTGGCTACGATCGCGTATCATGTTTTGTTGACAATGAGACTTACGTCATTTGTTCTCAACTACGGTTTCACATTATATACGTATGTGAGTATGCATAGTAAATATCAAAAGAAATCAAAGAAGCATTTGTGCATAAATCACTCATTGAATTTGAAAACACGCATCTCTCTTTGAACCAAACGTTTTTTTTCAAAACAAATCTTTTTAAAGCACATATATTGAATGAAATCCAAGAAATAAAATAACACATCAGCATTATTCATATAATATATATCTGATTATTACGTAGATGATAAGAGAAAAAACATAATAAGCATATTGTTAAAACTAGTTTTGGTTTTATATAATTTCCTGTCCTGTTATATTTGTTTCAAATGTCAGATTGACTTGTGAATGTTTCCCACATCTTATGTGCAGTCAAATTCAACAGCTGTGCTTTGTGTCGGATCCATTAAGCCCTTTACATTTGGACCACGATCAAATCCACTATCACAGAATTGTTCAACTTGTTTTGGGGTACTGTCGCTAATGAAAATACCATATCTGGATCCATAATTTATCCCTGCCTTTGCAATAAATGTGAAGCCAATGTCTCCTTTTGTTGCATCTGTGATAGGCGTTATGTTTATCAACGAATTCGTCTTACTGAAATATTAAATGTACGAATGTGTGGTAAAAGTGATAATATATTTTTTATATATTTGATATCTGATTTATCTGGTAGCCATTGAAATCGTTTCAAATTCTACAAAAATGTCAATCGTCACGGAAAAAGTGGTAATAAACATTAGATAAATATGAGAGAATTCTTCAATCATTAAAGGAATCACAACACATACGTAGATGTGTAAATATGATTGCAAAAGACTTAACCCGGTTTGATAAACGCTTTGACGTAGAAAAGTACAAATGAAACAAAATATCATTCACTTATTAATATATAGCTGATTACGTTATTAAGTAATTATAAGATAATTATCATTTTCTGTCATATAGATAACGTAAAAATAAAAGTCATCTTGTCATTCAGATTTTAACTGAGGAACGAGAAGTTAGTCTTAACAAATTTGGTTTTAACAATTAATATCTCAATCAACAGTCAGAATTGTTAGTAGGTCCGCCCAGGAAAAGCAATGATTTGACTCATATTACGTCAAACACCACCAGTACACATGTTTATAAAATAGTCTAAAGGAAAGCGTTGACTACCCGACTTCTTTATGTTTCTCAATTATTGTAAAACCTTGACTTCATGAATCCTAAGATTTTACATTGGTACATAAATGAAACAAATAACAGAAAACACATAACATCATAGTATCACTGTCTATGATACTGTTGTACACTGGTCTCTGATATTAAAACCATCGCAATAATGATATGAAAAAAATATTATAAGGCATTTTGTATGCTTCAGATTTTTTAGACTGACCTGATTTTACATCGCAAGTTTCGATTTGAAGTTACCATACGAACTTCTATTGCTGTATCCAGGTCAAATATTTCTTTATTGCCGTCTTTGATGTATCCCGGGCATCGGAATTCGATACAAGCTCCCCTTACAGTCAGATCCGTTTTTCTAGGATCAGGAGTTGGCCCTGTAGAGTATGATCCAAATTCATCCCCGTTGACGTCTTTTAAATGACTCTTTGCAAAAAATCGTATATCAAATGTATCAACTATCTGAAAATAAAACAATACAATTTTTGTTCATTTCATATTCATTCTTTAAATAGTTTGTCATTAAACAATCCCATATGTATTGGTGACGAACAAATATCTCTAGAAATAATGGAATGAGTTTTAAGAAGACTCTAAGCTAAAAAAAAAGCTTAACGCATAAGATATCGAATATGACCATTCAATGCGTGTATCCGAATATGTATACACCTACAAAAGTTGAGATAAACATGATATTGTAATGTATTTATAACACTTGAATATTTCCATACTGGTATTATGAACTTGCATTATTATTAGGTAAATGAAATGCTACTTACATCAACTCGTACTTTCATGAAACAAGACCTAAATGTTGATTTCGCAGGTGAAACAGGGTACCAAGAAAGTTTCTTATCATATACGCCTTCACCGGCAACATAATTATGCTCTGGGGCTTTTGTGAATGGTGCAAACTTAAATTGGAACGTCTGATCATTTATGCCTACTCTGTTACATCTTCCTCCACTGACCTTTTGATACATCGGACCTTCACACACTGTACCAGGTGGGTACATACTGCAATCTATTGATCTCCCTAAATCTCTTGACTCAAAAAGTATTTCATTGTCATTTGTGTCTCTTATATATCCCGGGTATGGTAGGTGGTGATTGGCGGCATAAAATCTTTCTTTACCATTTCTTACAACATGTATATATACCAATTTATCGCAAAACACTTGAAGGCAAGTGTGCCCATTTCTCAAATATGTCGCTTTATTTGCACCAATATATGAGGAGTTGTCTAACTCTTTGACATATGCTTTAATTTCAATGTCCCCACCAGTATATGCTTCTTTAAGGTTCATATCTGTATAAACTGATATGCTTGCGTAACATATTCCCGCTTTTGGTGTCCTTCGTACGACATTCTCATATATTTTGACACTGTGGTCGCAATTAGTATACCGTCCTGTCCAAACGCGTTCATAATGAACATCGTTGAACTTCAGATCTGGAATCCTTGGCGGATGGAAGAAAGCTTCAATGCTTACAGCTTCAAGAAGCTTCCTTCTGGTATTAGATTGTTGTTTATATTTCATCTTGGCTGTTTCTACCCAAACGCCTTTATTGTTGTCATAATCCCATAATGATAAATCAGGATCTCCATTTTCATCATGTTCAATATTAAATTGACTTGCATCAAGTGTAAATTTCAAAGGTTTATTGACTTTGAGTTCTTTTCCTTTGTCATCTTCAATACTCAACTGAAACATTCCATAAGTCTTTAAAGGAACTTTATCCCCTCCAGGCGATTCGCTTTCAAAGTCTCCATTTGCAGATTCAATATCATCCCTATTCCTCGGATCCATAAAATGCAGTATCGTTTTGGCAGTACCATTAAAAGGCTGTCCATCTGGCGTGACGATAGCATTTGTAGGAATCGACAGTTGTCCTGCTGGGGGCATCCCAGATGGACCTGTCCCTAAATGTATTTCAGTGCCGTTTTCAGTGTGGAACGGTATTGGTTGTGGACGTAGTGGAATAACTATTGTGGAAAATGTTTCCCCTCCTTCTTTAACCTGGATTATTTTTGTGGTGTCCATGAATTTTTTAAATACTTTGTCATGAAAAGTAGCTACAACACGCTTTATTCCTTTAGGTACATCGAATTTAAAAAATCCTGCAGCATTTGTTGTTGCTGCAATTTTACCATTAACAAGAACTTGTCCAATTCTAAAAGGAATATCTGTACCATTCTGCCTACCAAAAGCTCTTCCTGTTACAGTCGTTTTAAACACGCATGGTTTGCACTCACAAGACTTTATTCTAGTAGTTTTGTAACTAAATCCATCGCATGTAATATCAAGGACATCTACGTCTTTAGCGTTACAACAGTGATGTGGCCAGTAATCACTGCAAGATCCATTATCATGCAAAGACGATTTCATGCATAATGCTTTGCCACAGTCTCCAACGTTAATTGTGTTGTTTCTGCTAGTGTTACTTGTAAGGTAACATCCATGTGGAAGCTCCTGTAACTTTGAATGTGGGGCTCCACAAGTATCTTCCTTAAAATCTACAGAGGTTATTGTTTGTTAAATATAAAGTTTTAAAATAAACATAGTATATATAGAATCTGTGATCACATTTCTGACTTATTAAACAAACAAAAAAATATAATGTATGCACAGAATCAAATACATATTCAAAGAAAATGTATTTGATATGAGTTTAAATAAGAGATGAAAGTTTATGAATATCAAATAGTTTTATCATAGAAATAAAACCTTTCTTTATCCTAGCATGCACCCAAAGGTCTCTTTTTCTTACAGAAATACCCTTCAAGCTAAATCAATTTGTTTAAAACATTTAAATGCAAATTTGAATTTTTCTTTTGTTGTTTGTTGATATTTTGTACACACTATTTTACTATTTCAAACGGACTACTTGAAATAAACAGAGATTACAATTACTTTATAACATAAACAACAAATTTGGAATAATATACAAAACGTTATAGGTTACCATGAACTTCAACTTGAACATCCTCCGATAAAGTCACTCCTGCTTCTGTCTCGGTATAGCAATGATAGGATCCACTGTCAGACTTTTGTACAGATGAAAATTTTAGGGTTCCATTTGTACCTAAATTTTCCAGTTCTATTCCATTTTTGAACCTTATGAAGATACCATGATATCATAAATGATGATGAATTGTTATTCAACTTAATAAAATATGTATAAAATTATGGGCATATCATTTTATAAACCATTTATATGAACTACTATTGATTGAATTTCATTTCATTACGAAAATACTTAAATTTGTAAAGTCAATTATCACTTATAGCGATGGCTTACATATATGATTGAATGCATGCATGTAATCATTATGAAATAAATGAATTGTAAAGTACCATTTGAAAGCAGATGGGACAGGCTTCCCATCAGCTGCACAGCAAAGACTTAAACTCTGTCCAACCATCCGAACTTTATCATGCGGCTGAACCGTGATAACTGGAGGTACTGCAATTATAAGGGCGTAAAGACAATGTCATACAAGTATTAAAGTGTGAAAATGAGAAATAATAATGGTAAAATAAATATATGAAATATACACTACATTTTAATACAATTTTGTATGATACAAGATTTTGTAGAAAAGATAAATAAAGTAATCTGAACATCTTTAATATTCACACTTCTATTTAATGAAATAATATTTAGTTTTACATTGAAATGTACCAAGTAAGATGCTTACTGTATTTCTCAAGCGTCGCATTTATCAGTGTCCAATGCGTAGCATTCAGTTCCTTTGGTGCAAAATGTTTACTTTCACATGTTGGAGCTTGTATGTAAATATTTTCGTTTAAAATGCATATGCCTGTCTTGCTGAAAATTCCAAACCTGTCTGTTTTTGCGATTGGTTTATACTTGCTCGACTCTAGAAATATCTCTGCCCCTTCGACGGCATGTTTCGTAGTATCCATTATTTGTCCAAACAGCGTTACACTTGAGCACTCACATGCATCACATGATTTAGAAATATGTGCACCGGCTGGGCAAGCCTTGTTGCAATCTAAAAAAAGAAACAGACTTAACGTAATTTATTATTATGACATGTTTAGTCTTATAGGCACAGAGTATTTGTATAGCACAACAATATTGTTGATTCATGGATGAAATCATATGTTAACAAATGCAATGTTTAATGTTGTTCTTATATAACTACACTATAGTGAATCAATATGGCTTTGTCCGGAGCAATTCTTGAAGTACTTTTGCACTTCAAGTAACACAATGTCATACGAGAAAATAACGCTTACGTTTTATTTTATTGTTAAGCAACTCATTGTTTTAGATCTTTTTGTGTGGTACGAAAACCTAAATTTAAGTACAAAACATCATTCAAGTGCATAATCTGAGACATCCATTTACTGAATATGCAAATTTATACATAATATGTCCAAACCAAACCTGGACATTTCCATTCTGCACAGGGTCTCGTCTGAATTCGTACTCCAGGGCAGCTCTTTCCCCCATTCCTTGGCTGTGGCCGGTCACATTGTCTTGTTCGCCTTTGCGTTCCATTCTGACAAGTTTTTGTACAGGTTCCCCAATTTACCCAATCAGACCATGCGCCATTGACAGGTTCTTGTAAGTAAAAGATAGTCATGAACTTATTCTCTCAATTGCGGTTAGGAGACAAGGAGTCACTTTTCAAAAATAAGTTTGTATTATGTAAAGTTATTATTCTTAATATATCTCTAGCTCTTAATATACGTTAGCAAAATGTGTTGATCCAATTTTTGTAGATTATCAAACACTTACCTGTACAGTTTGGCATGATACAAACTGACTCTTCCGTAAATTGTCCTTCACAATCTTTATCTGTATCTTCCAATTTTATGCAGTGTCTTGAACGGAATTTCAAGCCAATATCGCATGTAACACTGCATGTTGTCCAATTTCCCCAACCGGAAAACCTTCCACACCCAGTACTCGGGAGATCTTGAATGGAAGATATTGAGTATAAAATAATACAAATAACAACATTAAAGAACGTTTGATACTCAAGGGTATCTGAGATATCTTGGAGTAAAATTAAACAAAATCCAATAGAAAACATTTAAAAAAAAAACTAAATTTGTTCTAAGTATGTTCTTATACATATTTTGCATAGGTGATCAAACTATTAAACTTGTAGATGATGTTTACAATTAGTTATACAATTATACTAGACTGTCATTATAGTCAGCTATATTTACATGACCCCCTATATTACGCATTTTAGAATGCACGCACAAACGGCGCGTATTTTTATCCGTTAATGCACGATGTCTTCTCTGTTGATGTAAACTTGTGTGTACAGTTTCTATACATATCAGCATTATTATTAAATGAATCAAACAAATTACAATTAGACAGTACCTGTTTTAACAAGACTCGTTATTGTGGTCGCAGATGACTCCAATGCTGTGAAATCAGTAATTGGTATTGTTCTTGTTGAGGCATCGGTGATTGTGATAAAATTTGCATTCGCTGAGTCTCCAGCCATGTTAAGAATAAAACATCGTATTCGTTCTGTTTTTAGCACAGTGCTAATTCTTAAGGCTTCTTGTTCGCCGATAGGCGAGTGAGTCAGAATTACTAATGCTTTTGGGACGCATTCCCGGCCGCCAGCAGAATTTGAAAAGCCATTCTTGATTGTGTATTCGACAGCAGTAGAAACATCGCCATCCCCTGTGCTGTACCACATGTACGTTATTGCTTGCTTCATAAGTTGAATGTCATTATAGGCGTTTAATGTGAATTGACTGTAAGCACTGGAGCCGAATGTGTAAAGACTGATCTGTGCGTATTTGTTAAAAGTCTGCCTTACGAATTCTAAAGCAAACTTCTTCTCATTGTCAAAGTTTTGAGACCGATGGCTATCAGATGAATCCATGAGCAAAACAACATCCATTTTCGGTTGGTCTAGAATTGAGAAAAAACACATTATGGCAAACAATAAATTTTCAACTTTATCATAATACATTCAAAAGTCGTAAAAAAAACTTTAGTACTTACCATTCTGCAAATATACCAATCCAAAAAGAGTCAAACAAAGGCAAAATGCAAGAGATCCTTTGACACCCATATTGAGTGGATGTTTGATTCGCGATTTAGTGACGTGCTTTCTTATATATAGGAGGAGCTTTTACAAAAGAGGAAGTTTTTACCCTGTTCGGGCTGTTGATAAATTTTATATAAATCTGTGAAGTGACACAAAATGTCAAGATATTTTTTGTGTTTTTCCCAGTATGTGTACTCCAGAAACTCATGAGATCAGCAATCTTTGAGAAAAAAGTATAGGCTCTATTCATGGAAAGATTATTCATTCAGTTTTGAGAAAATAAAAACATGGTTAAAAGAGTTCAATGACAATTTTGTTTTATTGTCAGTGTTTTTTTTTTTTGACATTCATTGACATTGTGTGTTTGATGTTTTATTTGAAACTATTGGAAGAAAAAAATCAACTGTTATTCTAAACTATATACATGTATTTTCGTTTCTTGTCTTTTTAAATTGTTGGTGTACTTCATATCTTTGTATATTGTCTAAATATTTATGTTAATTTTCGATTTAGACAAAATAATCTGTTTTTAAAATTCCTAATCCATAAAGCTACGTCTATGTAAAGTCTAAAGAAACAAAACCGAAATTAGGTCTAACGGTAAAAAAAAAACTTTTATGAAAACTGCAGTAAACGCCAAGATGAACATAGTTACATTATATCAAGCAAAACAAATATTTTGTTAAATATTACATGTATCTGAAACCATAATATTATTAAGACGATCATTCTTTATATTTGGTATCTGTTTCAGTGGCATGAACACGCTCTTACACAATTGTTCAGTGAACGCATTGATCTCTATTTGATTTTTTGTATTTCAGTATTTTTCATTTACAATGATATTTAGAGGTCATTAAAACACTTGAAAAGATTGATAACATGTCACGTGAACGTGCATATTTTTAAATTAGACATTTTTATCTGCAAGGTCCCAGCGCAAGGTTAATCGTTTCATACCCCACAAGAACAGTTAAAATGCACGTTATCCTAGGTGCATGCGCTCTGATTTAAGCTACAAAAAATAAAAACAATTTATTGTAAGTCCGGGAATTTAAAATGAAAAGAGGTTTTCGTGATAGGGTTTTTTTTTGGTTTTGTGTTTTGCATGGTCTGCTAAAGGTCAAGCCCTTTGATTAACAAGACTTAAGCTTTTGCTTTAGAAACAACAATGGAAACCTTACAAGATCCTATAATATACAGAATAACGGACTAACAAGGTAGATAATCAGTGTCATTCTAGCAACACTAGAGCTATTCAAGTACTCCAGAGTTACTGTTCTTGATTATTCACAGCATTTTGAAATATTTTCGTCCGCTCTCTTATGGTGGCGTCTGTATACATAAACTATCGATTATAATTATGGAGAATCTTTAGAACTAGAAAACCTGATCAGGTGGTGTTGTTAAAGGTTACATGTATACAGATTCACATACTTTTGTTGCACTGATAAACCCTAGATTTTTTGTCGTAAACTATTTTGTGGTAATACATGAAATTGGTTTTAAAAAATAGTTTCAATTCGCTTGTTGATTAATAACAATTTAATTTCTTTGTGTCTGAAAATTCAAGTCAGGGTTACGACAGTATATGAGTGCATGCAAGCATAAAATAATGTTTAACAGTAACTGTCATTGTTCTAAACAACTTGGGAACATGATATTCATGTTCCATTTACACATTAATCTAATGTCAATTGCCTCTCAGCAGTAATTCAGAATATATAAGGGTGTATATAGCAAGTTACATGTGGAGAAATTGGTAACGACGCCAGGAAAGTTTGTTACGTGGATCGACCGCTGCTGAGATATGACCAGCCTTGTGTACAAAATCAGAAAAGCAAACAATTAAATTAATACATTTCATTTCGTAATTGGTTAAAACTTTACTCTGAACGAAACGATAATCTCCCGCATTCACTATTTAAATAGAACAAAAATGATATTTGTTTAGTATATCATAACAACCAGCAGCCAATGATTTAGATATAAATTAATTTTTATTGCATAAACTTTCTTTTACATGCAATTTTCAGGTACGCCATGTACAAATGCTATAGCAACAAGTGAAACAAAAATGTATTACTCATATAGATATGAAAAGGGAAGTTTGAATTATTGACATTTGAATTGTTTGGTCCAATGCTACTTTTTCTGAAATGTTTAAATAAACTGCGATTATCAGTATTTACATGTACCTTGAAAACGAAGTGAATGTAGATTATATTCACATGTACCATACTTCAACTTTGATTATGCATATCGAAGTTTATCCTCAACAATGTTTGCTTATGTCATTTGCTCAAAAGTACCTGACAATCCTATTAATTGAATCAGTTATAAACGAATGAGATCAATAGTTCGTCTTCCCTATACCAGAATTAATTTCTTTTTGTCCGATTGAACACACAAACAGACAGAGAAATGAAACTGACCTAACATTATAATTCCATTTATTCGTGATCACAAATGAAATAAAACTAAAACAGTAAACAATGTATCACATCAACTTTTCTAGAATATCAACTTGAAGATATCTTAACTTTGGTTTTAGATGTTGTATGAATGTTGTGTTCCTGTTTCAAAACGCTTATTAGGTGGTACTCAGGCTCATTGCTGCATTAATAACTGAGGTTAAAGGGGGAAGTAAAGAGGAAAAAGTCGTCGTAGAAACTTGAAATGGTTAGTGTTTTTTCATTCCAAAACGAACAAAATAATGTCTAAATATAAAAAAGATATATCGTTGTTAAAGAAAATACATGGACAATAATCTTGAATTTTTGTGCAATTATTGTTAAGATGTTGTAACAGGTATATTTGAATAAACACGCAAGTAATAGAATAGTGACAATAATGCCAGTGCGCCAACGCAACGTGGCCTCTAAGTTGAATGTATAATTTTTGAACCGCCAGTCATATTATTCGCCTGGTAGTCTTATATCCACCAACTGAAAACTGTCTTCATTATTAATTTACTTAGACAGTCTGTCGCGAAACTCATGGTGCGGCAAATAAAATAACGCTGTGACGTCAAAACGAGACATGTTTTATCTAGTTGGAAGTTATCGTTGTCGTAATCTCAAGGTTAAACACCATCGACAAATACAAATCTATTAAGCATGATACTAGTATCTATGCGGCATGGTCCTTAGGGCATCATGTTTTAGATAATGGCAATCATTCAAAGATGTACTTAAGTCATCCCAGAATTTTTCTAAACTCATTCTCGGACAAATATGTCTCTATGCTGTTTGGTGCCGATGACAAAGGAAATATGGGGTTGCCTCTGGACAGTGCCTCAATCCACACTACCAAAACACACTTACCACCTCAAAAGTAGAAAAATTAACTTTGATTGAACAAGACGCAGCTCTAAGGGACTGTTTTCTTTACGGTATTTGAAATTTACTAGTGGGGAGGATATCTTTATCAAATTTTTATTTACAAAACATCAGTCGTTCAAAGGTTCTTAAATGATCTCATTCCGTAATTGTTCATAATTATATAAACCATGTTTGCAATTAAATTATTTACCACAGATCTAGTTAAAACTCAGTTTAAAGGATTTGATAAATATTTTGATAACTTCATGAACAAATAAACGATCTTTTAATATAAGCATACTGTTCCACAAATTAATTTTGCACAGTAATGTTTTAGCTTTTTTTCTATTCGCTTAATAAATAATGTATTTCACATGAAATTTGATACAGCATTAAAACATATGTATTCAGTTTTAAATCAGAAATACAATTTGAATTAATAAAATTTTATCCAATTTTTGAAGAAAAAAGATCGCAGTCATATTATAATTGATGTCTGCATATGTTTCGAACATTTTCTAGAAAATGATTTTTTCAATGTGTTCATAGTTCTTCTTTCGATAAAGTCCTTATTCCGACAATCAGGTACTTATTGAAAAATTCAGTCTTATAAATGGTAATCTTTAGAAGTGGAATAGAATCTTATTTGCAGACTAGTTTCCCTTCTCTTTTTGTTACGGACGTTTCGTCTGGAATTATAAAAATATAAAATATAGAAATTTTGAACATATGAATTTGAAAATGTTGCTTAAAAAATGTGTGTTTATTTATTTCACATAGAAATAGCTAACCATCAGTCATAATAAATTGAGTTACTAAAATAGAAATGTTAGTTTAAAGAGAAATTTTACGTTACACAAATTATTACAAGAAATTGTTAAAAGAAAGATAAGAAAGATTTTTTACCTTCTCCGAAGACAGGCAATGACCACAACAAAAATGAAAATGGCCAGTATAACTGATACAACGGACACCGTTACAGTCAATATAAGCGCGGCATCGCTACTTGTAGATTTACTAGTTGTTTGACCTGTCGAGACAGTAGTGACTGCGATTGTTCGAGATTGTAATTCATTAGACATTTCTTGCGTGCTTTCGTCAATCGTAGAGATCAAATGACCATCTTCCTTTGCAGTAGACTTTGGTAGTATTATTGGAGTTGAAGGAGGCAGTACTGTTGAAACAGGTGAACTGAATGATTTAGACGGTGCAGACGAACTCGATATTGTTGTTGTACTTTTTGACGTCACTTGTTTTCTAGTGGTAAATAAACCAGAAGAGTGAGTTTGAAATGACGAACTCGATATTGATGTTGTTGCATTTGTACTTTTTGATGCCACATGTTCTTTTGTAGTAAATAAAACAGAAGAGGATTCAGTGGATGTTTCGCTTCTTTGAAACTCTGTTTCTAAACCATTGACAGTCATATCTGAAATTAGACAGAGATAATGAAATAGTTAAACAGAAGTTAAAATACAAATAAACGGTATCTTAAGGTAACATAACAAATACATAAATGATATCGAATTATAATAATACAATACAGAGACTTTCAACCATATGAAATGAATATATGCTCAGTGCATTCAAGCACCATCCAAGCACATTTAAAGCACGTTCATATACATGTATTTGTTAAAGCAAAATTATCTCTTTGGCATGATTGTCAAACAATTTATCTCTTTTTCTTTTTTATTATTTTCCTTTTCATCCAACTCCTTGGCATACTCACTTCGGCTAGTTCTTATTGATTGCTACGTCTTCAGTCAATATTATATATTCATATTATTTAATATTTATATTTCGGTCTCTTCAAAATAATCAATTGGTATATAACTCGACATACTTGATATATAAACTAATGACCGTGTCTTCCGTTCTAATCCTTTCCTTTGAATATATGATTTGAATTATATTATATTGATATGAACAAAGTAAAGGATGACATACTAAATGTAGGTTCTGTGAAATCATTTGTTTAAGATTAAGATATGTTTTCTAAATCAGATGTGTAGTTGCAAAAATAGCCAAGTACTTAAAATAGATTCTTAATACCTAAAAACGATTTGTTGATAAATATACAATTTAACAAAACAGGAGTTTGATAACAGACTAGCATCTCTTATCTTAACGGTTTCGTGTAAATCTGTTCGATAACTTAAGTATAAGAATATTTGTTTGTAAATGTAATTACTTTTTGATTTAGCCATGCATGTTTTATTTTCAAAGTGTCGACATGGGTATAAAATGTTTAACAATGCAATAATTTTTTATATGTACTCACTGAAGCAATATTTAGCATCACATCGTGGTAGCCGTCTTAGTTCAAAAACATAGAAATGTTTACAATTCTTTACGTTAATGTGACTACGTATTGCACAGCATCCTTCACTGGTACTGCCACAAGCAATTACATCTTTGATCCCATCGTTCTGTCCAGGTAGTTGATCTTTGATAAGAAAGGTGTAGGTGAATAGTCTTACATCTGATTATTAATTAAATTTTAACAAAAACACGGACAAATGTTTACTTAAAAAAAATCAGTATTTACTACTACTTGTTTTGAAACAAATAAAACTTAGGTTCACGAAACACAGACTGCTCATATTTTAAACAAATAATTAATTTCATTGAAATGATTATTCTTAATATGACAAATTAAATGCGTAGCAGTTTTACAAATACAAATACAAGACATTTATATAGCGCAAAATTGTATTAAATATTCGATTGCGCTGTACAGTATTAAGACTATATACCAAGACACTCCCAAACCCAGTCTCGATGGCACAGCCTATCTACAACTCTAGTTGAAAAACAGTCCGAACAAGTATGTTTTAAGTTTGGCCTTAAACTGGTTTTCATTGGTAATGTCTTTCAAATAGTCTGGCAATGAATTCCACCATTTAGGTCCCACAATAGCCAAAGATCTATCAGCAAGATTTGAATTTGTTGATGGTATATCAAACTGAGTGTGGCTAGATGATGAGGATCTCAGTCTTTTCCTGTACTGACTTTGGCATTTAGTGAACAATTTACGAAGATACAATGGAGCGGTGCCATTTGCAACACGAAACACATTCACAATAACTTTGTACATGATTCTTGCTCGAATTGGAAGCCAGTGGAGTGATTTAAGGATTTCAGCACTGGATTGATAGTAAGTAGCTCCAGTGACAATTCTAGCAGCATGATTCTGCACACGTTGTAATTTATCAAGTTTATAGGCTGGAATATCCGCGAATAATCCATTGCAAAAGTCTAAATGTGAATGAATCAAACCATGAACAAGGATTTCTACAGATTTCTGAGTGATATGTTTTCTGATTGCTTACAAATTTCTTAACTGCATGTGTGCAATCTGACACTTCTTTTGAATATGGATGTCAAAACTTAAAGTGCTGGTCATCTGTACTCCAAGGTCTCTCACATTGTCAACACAGTTGACTTCGATCCCACCAACATTGACACTGGAAATGTTCAATTTCTTCAGCTAGCTGATGTCTTGTACCATAAATTATGATTTCTGTTTTGCTCTTGTTCATTTTTAACTTAAACCTGGTCATCCATGAAACAATATCATTAAGACAGTCAGTGACTTTTTGGCGAACGATTTCTTCGCTGTGATGGTCACCAGCTCTAAATTTGAATGCCACTTTATGATCGTCTGCATATCAATACAATTTCGCCGGATATTTCTGGACTATTTTGTTACGGGCAGCTATATAGAGAGTAAATATCACCGGTCCAGCACAAGAACCCTGGGGAACCCCGAACCTCAGTGGTTCAGTATCCGATGAGGACAGTTCAATTACAACTTTCATATCTCTGTTGGTTAAATAAGATTCGATCAACTTTAATGGAATACCGTGTATGGCAAAGTCTTTCTGTAGGATTTCAAGTAAAATTGGTATATCGATAGTATCGAAGGCGGCGCTTAAATCAATCATTACAACTATTGTCTCATGGCGGCTATCAGCTGTTTCTAGCAGATCACGGTACATTTACATCATAGCAGACTTAACACTGTGAAAATTACGGTATTCACTTTGGTTAGATGATAACAAATTGTTGGACTCAATGTGGCTTGAAATTTGTTTCATTGCAGCTTTTTCAAGAATTTTCGACAAGAATGACAGGTTTGACACAGGCCGATAGTTTTTCAATTCTAAGGGAAGGCCTTTCTTTTTCAACACAGGCTTTATAACAGCGCTCTTCCACGTCACTGGAAAAACACCAGAAGACACCGAACGATTCACGATTTATGTCACAACAGGTGCATGCAAATGAAGATTTTCTTTCAGCTTTTGTGTTGTCATAACGTCCAAATCACATGTTGTTGACTTTGATTCACTCACAAGTTTGATGATGTCTTTTTCATTTAGTGGTATAATTTTGTTCTTGATATTTTCACTTGATGGTACATCAGATGCCATAATACTATCAATCACTGAAGATGATGTTTCTGTATTTATGATATCCAGATCATCACGAAGTCTAAGGATTTTGTCACTAAAGTAGCGCAAAAAATCGTTTGCAAGTGCCGTCTCACCGGTGTGAGGTGGAAGAGTTGGTTATCCTTGAACGCCCAAGCGTTTTGTTTGAGAAAAGAAGACAAATGAAGGCAAAATATGCCATTGTGTTATGAGAGTCAAAATTCTAGACAAAAATACATTTAATAGAATATATTTTATTGATAAAATAATTAATTTATTTATTAAGCTAATACCGTTTATCCATATATTTGTAGTTCCACCACAGGAAGATGAGTCTGGACACTCCAATGCCACAACATTGCCTATTAAAGTCCCATTTATTCTGTACCAAGAAGGTATAAAACTTTCTGGGAACGGTTTGCATGCCCTACTGCCACCTATGTCATCTCGATTCATGTCGATCAATGTGTCATCGACTGTTTGGTAATCAATGCATGGATTCACTTCACTTTTGGCATATCCTATTGGAGCAATAAATTAATCCATTAATATGATTGCATATTGACCAATTAATAATAATCAATTACAAGCAATGTATTACAGGAAAATATTTTTAGTTCATGATATCACATTATATATCCTTTTTACCTGCCGAGTATATCAAATTAAATGTATAATCATTCCTATACTAAATTACCATAAATACCCTTGTCACCAAATAAAATATAAACTATAACACCAAAGGCATTTAAGAAGACAATGTTTTTGTGTTTTTCCTATTAACAAACACTTGTTTTCGTACCGAGATTCAGCAGAAATTTTTTAAAGAGTTTATTACATGTAGATTAATTTTATTTATCAAATGATATGTTTAACTTTTCTAACTAACCATACAAATATGCTAATATCCAAATGAAGTGCAACATTGTGGATATTTACGATGAAAGTTTCTTTATTCTTTCGATAAACAACCTTTTCAATTATCAGAAGTTACTACTATCAAATATTATTTGTGCCAATATTGGATTGATAATATTTACAAAGAGTAAAGGTGATTTGACGTATATTTCAAATAATTTCGAATAACAGTTAAGATGTTGGTTTGTTAAATAGTTAGTCCATATGAAGTATACACCGGCTTTTAAACGACAAAAACAATATTTTAAAACCAGGTTAGGAAATATATGATATTTGATATTACAGTCAGTTCGTAGTCGCATTTTTAGAGATAATTTTGTTTAAAAGGCTTATATAAATTTCTGATAATTCCTTTTAGTTTTCAAAGTTTGAGATAGAAATATAAAACATATATTTTAAAAAACTGTGGAAACGTACTGACAACAATTCGTATTTATATGTTATAAAATCAAATATATAGAATAAATTTGACTACCTTTAACTTTATCATATAGTGCGACTGTTAATGAAAGCGTATATATAAATATCTAGACGACTCGTTTACTTCACTGAATAATTGCCAAAAAGGCACACAATTTTATAGATAGCCTTATGTCAATCAAGGATGCTTTTTTTGCTTTTCTTAAATTGTTTCTCAAACCTTTGATAAAGAAATACAACGTTAACGAAAAAATTAAATTTTCTATAAACATGTCACCATTTCAATAACAACTACTGTTAAAATTGGACGTCAAAAATATAAAAAGTATCAGTTGTATCAAAACTGTTTTATTTGAACGTTTGGTTTATTTGTCCGACCATTACGCTTGAACTTGACTATAAAATATCAAATTTCATTTAACCTAAGAATTGAAATGAAGATTCAAAACCTTTTTGTTGAACCTTTCTATATGTTCATTAACATTCAATGACTGGTTTGTGTATATTCGAATATGAAAAGTTTGATAAAATATTGGGCACCCGACTGTTCTTTACTATTATATGGATAAAAATGAAAATAATTAAATAACAAATTTAACACAGGTTTTAGAACTTGAACAAATTAATGTACAATTGATAGAGTCACTTTGAGCCCAGACACCCGAAGATTTCCTTTAAAAACATTTTTATTTCATGTTTTATTTACATGCTGAGGGAATTTTTGTTATCAAACTAGCTACGATAACATTTATTCATATGCGTATTTATTTTAAAGAATGATTTGGTCTTGCAACTTTTGAGACATTTGTCAATCTCAACACCCAAAATGTTGTATGTCTACACATTTCTTTTTTCCAAATTTCTAATTTCGCCAATCTAATATCATAATAGCCATCTTACATGCCATGTAAATCTTTTAAAAATTGAAGTTTTAAAGTCATCATTTTTGTTTTATTTATTTTTTGTGTTGTTGTTGTTGTTGTTGTTTTCATACACCCATTGATAATGGTAAGCAGAATGTTGCAATTACTTAGCTAATGTTAACCATTCCTCAACCATCATGATTTTTTTATGTAATCTTGTTTTGTTTAATTAATATTATATGAAAAACTATTTGCGGCTCAATTCATTTTATCTCGAACTATTCATTTATGTTTCAAACGAAAACATTTACTTCAGAGAAATGTTTAACTACGCATGTTTTAGTTTGACTCAGGAACATTATCCATTGAGCCATTGACGTGCATCATGATTGTAGTGTAAATATATCTAATGCCTTAACCTGCTCGGAACTTGCGGTATACGATGTTTTTTTTTAAGAATTAGAACAGGAAATAAACCAGTATGTCCGTGTAGATTGCGACGATTGTCCTTACCTTTTTATTATTTTATATTTTTTATTATTATCTTTTATTCATTTATTTTATTGTATTATTATTTTTTTGGCGATGTGACAATTAAAAGGTTTCAATTTTTCTGGATTTAAGCCATCTCATTCCAGTGCTGTCAAATAAAGTTTAGAAGAAAAAAAACATGTTTTGCTACTTTTTTCTGTAAGTTTCACATAGTCACATGATACAACATTATAACAGGATGTTCTTAAATTAAATGACAGTTTATGTTGAAAAGAATATGTATAAATTGTTCCACAGAATAGGAAATAGAATTTAATGTAAAAAGAATGACATACCACTAAAAGTCTTATCAAGGAATTAAATATTAAATACGAGTACAACCATTTCTATAATTATCATTTTCTCATGGTTTCATGCAGTGAAAGTATCATTGAAGTTCCATTATGCCTAAGAAATGCTATCATTTTTCGTTTTCAAAAACTCTTTTATTTTTTAGCATCTTATTACTGTTTCCAAAAAATACTCATTTACAATATACATAAACTATTTTTGCTGATTTTGTTATGTTGGCAATTGCTATTATTATAGTGAATTCGTATTGTGTAATGAAGTCAAAATACTAATTTGTTTACATTTTTGCTACTTTTACTACACATTGCTGCATATTCAGTACTATTTCTTCAGCTGTTGAAAATCTAACATGCTCTTAATCCATTATCAAAAAACAATTATCAAAACATCATTTAACACAAGTTTGACATTTCTCAAGATTAAAAACAATATTTATGAGGCATAATGGCCTCTTAAAGAATTATACAACAACAAGGGAAGTAACTTCTAACGTCATGTTAAAGGAATAACCATCAATTATGTTAAAGGGAGACATCTTAATTTAATATTGTTTTAATACATTGAGTTAAATCATTAAGTATATTTTTGTCTATTTAGAGATACTTATTCAACCTTGTCAATTATGACAAATGCTGTGAACGGACCGTTCTGTTACTTTACTTTTACTCTAACGATTAATTAAATTATCACGCTACATTTTTGACATTATCAAAATCCCACACGGGATATTTTAACTTGATACATGTATGTATGCACTTATTACATAATATCGAAAATGCGCATTCATTAAAGACATTTTGTTAGTTTGAACGTGTCATGCAAAACGTTTCATAATAAGAACAAAAAGACAAAAAGAATCATGGCCATGAGACAAATGAAAAAAAAATGTCATTCACGCGAAGTAAGTTTAGACGAATTAAAAAAAATGCAATGATTTTGTACGAGATAACGTCATTGGAATGTAATTGCCAACAGCGTGTATGATAGGAAGTATCCGTTTATGGATTTGAAATAAAAAAACATGATTAGTGCGTATCTAACGGCTGCTTAAATGGTTTATCTAAGATTTCAAGAATTCTAATAGTTTCGGTTTATGTCATGTGTAAACTTAATACTCGAATTTATCTACTTTTTATGACGCACCTTTACGTAAATGTAAGCTACTCGGTCAAATGCAGATTTGTTTTCAAATAGGATAGGTAGGAATACAGAAAACAAAAATAAAGCAATTAACATGGCTCCTTAGTCAGTTTTAGTAGTTCGTCTGTATAAGAGTTTAATAAACACTTTAGTGGCTTTTATGGTGGAACCATATATAAAATAAAACTATGCTTAGATATATACTGTTCATTTGTTGACCTAGTTTATTAGTATCTATATGTTCTGGATAAGCCGAGTATGTCTGTTACTGACAAGGAAAGAACTATGTATTAAAAGTTGCTTTTAAAGGGCTTATCAACTTAAATAGACAGCTCTAAACGGGCCACAATTGTGTCTAAATATCAACTACTGGTACGTATTGAAATACCATTCTCTTACAGAAGACTGTCTTGATTTGAGCTGGTTACCTATTTTACATTTCTAAAAACATATAATCAAACATGTCAAAGATATCATAAAAATATATGCCTTGAAAAAGTTTAATGTAGACTAGGACAAATATGAAACGTTATGAATTTTATCGCGCTTTTCTATGGATTGAACCTAATAAAAAACCTGGATTCTGAGCATGAAAGAGAACAATGTTCTTAAGTATTTGAAACAAGTTTACATCAATTTGACCGTGTCTTGTAGTCTTTACAAGGTTGAAAGTATTTAAGAGTTTGACCATTTAAGACCATTGATCAATTTTGTACAACCATTGTTTCATTGAAACAAAACCTTTGGCAATCTTAAACATCAATTTTAACTTTAAACTTTGGAGAAGTGCTACCCATGTTTTCTTCAGATTTGACACGATGACCAAAGTTTTGAAACAACATAAATTCATAAATAAGGAGGGTTAATGAGGTTGTCCTTTCATGCCTTAATGATTTGTTGAGCAAGTATAACCTATGATCTAAGTTGGCAGACAAACATTCTTATTAATCTTTCCCTATGGACTTTAAGCATTCATGACTTATATCTATATCTAACATTTTTGTTATTATATTTGTTTGGTAAACCAAAACAATCAAAGTCATATGGCGCCGAAACAGGAAAGAATATCAATCTCGGGTTATAGGAATGGCCTCCGTCTGTCAGTCTGTCCGCACTCACAGGACAGTAATTATGTGGCTAGAGGGACAATAGGTAACTGTTCTTTCTCTTTGATGTCATTCATTCCGTAATGCGTTTATGTGGCTATTTTCTTTTGTGTGGCTAAAAAAACAATAGAGAGAACAATAGAGTAACCACATAATTACTGTCTTGTGAGGACGTCCGTCCATCTGTAACTTGAGTAACTTGACACAAGTGATCACCATAATGAGACAATGTGCAGAGCGCAATTATTGGGTTGCTAACCCCAAGGTCAAGGTCACACTTAAATATCAAATGTCTTCATTTCATAATAAAAAGTCTACATTTCGTGTCCGCTCCAAAACTTTTAAACCGCTAAAAAAATGAAATTACTTGGCACAAGTGATCACCATAATGAGACGATATTCAGAGCGCAATAATTGGGTTGCTACCCCAAGGTCAAGGTCACACTTTAAGGTCAAATGTTAAAAAGTCTTCATTTCATAATAAAAAGTTTACATTTTGTGTCCGCTCCATAACTTTTAACCGCTGAATTTTTTTTTGAAATAACTTGGCACAACTGATCACAATTATGAGACGACGTGCAGAGTAATTTGGTTGTCACCCCAAGGTTAAGGTCACACTTAAAGGTCAAATGTATAAAAGTCTACATTGCATGTCCTTACTATAACTTTTAAACCGCTGATTTTTTTTAAATTTTTAAATA